AGCATAGCATAGCATAGCATAGCATAGCATAGCATAGCATAGCATAGAACAGAACAGAACAGAACAGAACAGAACAGAACAGAATAGAATAGAATAGAATAGAATAGAATAGAATACTTTATTGGCCAAGTGTGATTGGACACACAAGGAATTTGTCTTGGTGCAAATGCTCTCAGTGTACATAAAAGAAAAGATACATTCGTCAGGAGTCAAGAATCATAAGGTACGACATTTAATGATAGTCATAAGGTACAATAAGCAATCAATCATACTAGGAAACAGTCATACAGTCACAGGTGGGAGGGGATGGGTGATAAGGAGTGATGAGAAGATTAATAGTAATAGTAGTGCAGACTTAGTAAATAGTTGGACAGTGTTGAGGAAGTTATTTGTTTAGCAGAGTGATGGCTTTCAGGAAAAAACTGTTCTTGTGTCATTCCTTAAGGGAAAGTTCTTTGTTCCTGTCCAGTTTTATGCAAAACATCTGATATGTTTGTACAGAAAATAAATTTGTCTTGATGTGATCCTCTCAGCCTGGATCTTATTTTCTTGTCAGCCTCACAAAATATTATATTCACCTGTCAAATAAAAGCAATTCACTGATAAGGGCAGGGGGTGGGATTCTACCGGTTTGGCCCAATTCTATAGAACCAGTAGCTCCGAAGAGTAGCTGACACAGAACCAATTCTCTCTGAAAATCTTCTTTTCTTTGGTTGGGCCAACCTGCCCGCCCGGGCTCTAGGCTGTCCTTTATTCTTACCTTCGTTGCTTTGCGCGGCACAGCTGAGAGCTGCGCATCAGCAAGAGATGGTGATTGCTTGCAGGAGAAGTTATTTTGCAAGTACTGTGAGCATGCGCACGAAGTCAACTCAAAGAACATTTCTATGACAGTTTCATAGTTGCCAATAGAAGGGGAGGGGGAAAGGGGATTTGAAAGAGCTGTGCGGCAGCTTGAAATCGAAAGTGCATTCCATACATAGTTTTAAGAAATAGTAACTAGGTGAGCGAAGTTTCTGGCATGCAAAAATCTAACTGGAGAGCATGATTGATAACTCTTGGCTATAGATGTGTCCCATTGGAGAATATGAATTATAATATACCCAGAGGGATGGGAGAAAACCAGAGTCAAGGGTGATTGTGAATTATGTGTTTTAGAGTCAGCTACGCCCAGGCAGTGCCAGACACATTAACTCCCAATGAACCCTTTTGAAGTTTTGGAAGTTTGGCTCGAAACTCATGATTTAATTGGGGTAACTGCCAGAATTCTAACAAAGAGGATTTAGACTTTCTGCCTCTGTTCATGATGTTATTGGGTTGCCATTTGATGTAAATAAAATAAAAATGTGATTCTATGTAACTGTTTCTCAAACTGAACTGAACACACTCAAAACCGTAGAAATGGTGGTAAACTTTAGGAGAAACCCTCCCATACTACGACCTCTTGCAATACTAGACAACACAGTATCAACAGTAGAGACCTTCAAATTTCTAGCTTCTATCATATCTCATATCTAAAATGGACACCTAACATCAAAAACGTCATCAAAACTACACAGCAAAGAATGTTCTTTCTGCGCCAACTCAGAAAGCTCAAACTTCCCAAGAAGCTGCTGATCCAGTTCTACAGAGTTACAATTGAGTCAGTCACCTGCACCTCTATAACTGTCTGGTTTGGTTCTGCAACCCAACAAGATAGACACAGACTTCAGAAAGTAATTAGAACTGCAGAAAAAGCAATTACTACCAACCTGCCTTCAATAGAGGATCTGTATACTGCATGAGTCAAAAAGAGGGCTGTGAAAATATCTATAGACCCCTCACATCCCAGAGATAAATTGTTTCAACTCCTACCCTCAAAACGATGTTATAGAGCACTTCACACCAGAACAACTAGACACAAGGACAGTTTTTTCCCAAACGTCATCACTCTGCTAAACAAATAATTCCCTCAACACTGTCCAACTATTTACAAAGTCTGCATTACTATTACTATTAATCTTCTCATCGCTCCTTATTACCCATCCCCTACCACTTGCAACTGTATGACTGTAACTGTAGCTTTATATTGACTGGTTCCTAGTATGATTTGATTGCTTATTGTACCCTATGACTATCACTAAGTGTTGTACCTTATGATTCTTGATGAATGTATCTTTTCTTTTATGTACACTGACAGCATTTGCACCAGAACAAATTCCTTGTGTGTCCAATCACATTTGGCCAATAAAGAATTCTATTACTTCTATTACTATTCTAAATATTGACTAAGTCCTACTGTCAATATTTGACTATTTAATGTTACTCCAAAAATAAAACAAAAGATAACTTTCTATTTCTTTCCCGTGTCATGATATAAATAAACTACCACTTGTTATTAAACATGACTTTTCCTCTTCTGTTTAATGTTGGGTACATAGAATTTTGTGGGTGGTTTTTGCCAAGAGGGCCAATTCAGTCATTCATATTTTTTTTAATGGCACAACCCAACTATATTTGCAACATGTAGTGCAAGACTTCTCAGGCATTTTTCTGGGCTTGGAAGAAGCTAAAAGAAATGAGAAATAATAAAATCAATTGGAAATGTTTTAGCTGTTCTCCATTTTTCTTTGCATATATAAAAAAAACCATGCCTCCCCTCAGCTGAGGATTGTCCTCAGCTAACTGGATACTTATAGTCACATTCATCACAAAACAAGACCAACTTAAATCCATATTGATGTATGACCATCCACATCCATGTTTAAAAACTCTTGTCAGGGCTCTGGCAGTTATTTAAATCATGAGACTCTAGCCAAACTTCCAAAACTTAAAGATTTATTAGGAGTAAACATGCTGGCACTGCCTGGGTGTAGCCGACTCTGAGACACATCATTCATTGTCACTCTTGACCCTGGTTTTCCCCCACTCCCTGGGTGTATCATAATTCATATTCTCCAATGGGACACATCCATAGCCAAGAGTCATCAATCATACTCTCCAGTTAGAATTTTGCGTGGCAGAAACTTTGGTCACCTAGAAACTATCTTTCAAAACATTAATGGAATGCAAGCTGCCCACTGCTCCCCCCTCTCCCTTTCTGTTGGCAACCCTAAAAAGACCATAGAAATATTTTATGAGTTGACACCTCTTTTGATACTGGATGACATAGAGCAGGGGTGTCAAACTTGCTGCATCAAGTTACCATCACAAGATGTTTCACAACATTTTCCCCTTCACAGAAATGAGGTGGACATGGCCTGTGCATGACACATCCAGCCCGTGGGCCACCACTTCGAAATCCCTAGTATAGAAGCATTTTGGAAGGGAACTTTGTGCTTCTCTTCTTCTCTTGCCTCACTCATTGACCCACCTTCAAAGTTTGGAGCCACATCTGTGCATTCCCCCTTTGCGCACCTGCCTAGAGTTCAGGGAGATGATGGTTCTCTTCCCTAAAATTATCAAAACCATAGTGATTTATTTCCTGTCTTGCAATCCCAAGAGATATTTCTGCAAATGTTCAGAAAATTTAACACAAAGAGACTTTTCGATATCAGCGTCAGACTCCAGAACAAAGTTGGAAGGTTGTCTACATTAGAAATGCTGTATGCATTTCTGTATGCATTTGCTGTATGCACTTCTGAAGAGAAAGAGTGAGACTGGGGAGGGTGTTAGGACGAGAAGGAGCTGTGTTTATTTTTGTCCCCTTCAGAAGTGAAGAATTGGGTGGATTCTGTTTGAATTTTTTTAAAAAAACTCTTAAGCTTCTTTTTTGGAAGGGGACTTGGTTTCTTCTACCTTTTTCTCATTCCTTGAAAGAAGCCATTGCAATGCAGGAGGCTGGATCAGGCTACCAAGACAGGCTGCTGCTGCTTATACTTCAGCTGCTGCTGTGTCCTCCAATAGTCTATGGGAAGCTGGAAACCAAATGCTTCCTGACTTTGGGGCAACATGAAACAGACCCACAAAATCATGTCAAGCCAGGAGAGCTTTTCATCACTGGCATAATCTCGGCAATCAAGGCTCGGTTTCTACCATTAACCTTCAACACCGTTCCTTTGACTCAAATTTCCTTGTAAGTCAATCTTTCTTCATTGAAGTACAGCACTTCCAATTCTGATAGTGTCTTAAAATCCCTGCCTTTACCTTATGCCACCAGGCTTGAAATTTTAGACCTTAGACAACCTAAAACTATGCAGCCTTTAGTCCGAACTAAGTATAGTATATAAAATTATCTACTGCAATGTCCTACCTGTCAATGAATACTTCAGCTTCAACCACAATGATACAAGAGCACATAATAGATACAAACTCAAGGTAAGCTGCACCAAACTTGATTGCAGGAAATACAACTTCAGCAACAGTGTTCTCAATGCCTGGAATACACTACCTGACTCGGTGGTTTCTTCCCCAAACCCCCAAAACTTTAACCTTAGACTGTCTACTATTGACCTCAACCCTTTCCTAAGAGGTCTTTAAAGGGCATGCATAAGTGCACCAGCGTGCCTACCGCCCCTGTCCTATTGTTTCTTTTATTTTTCTTATATGTATCCATTTCATGTATTCATAACCATGTTTATACTGATACCTATTATCTAATACTTGCTTGACAAATAAATAAATAAATAAATACAGCAGTTCCAATTCTGATAGTGTCCTAGAATCCCTGCCTTTATTTCTGGAAAGAGAGAAGTTCCCTGAGGAAGGGCTCCAGCTGCAGGGCGTGTCCAAAAGCATGGAAGATCAAACTTCTGGTCCTGGTGATTGACTCAGATTGGAATCCTATAATTCCAGCCTTAAATGACCAGGCATATATTCCTTGACCTGCTGCTGCTCTACTGCCTTAATTTACCTTTTAGGATCCATGATGCAGACATTGCAGCTGATGAGGCTCCTTTGCAACAGTCAAGTGCAGTGACCAGGT